GGAGGAGTACGCCCCTGCCATGCATAGTCCCATGGGATGTTGGCTATCAACAACAAGGCAACTCCTATGACTAATTGGGAATGGGACGCAAGCCTAGGATTGATCACCCTGTCGCTGGCCGCCTGTGGGGAGGGTGTATAGTGTGAAAGGGCCGAAACACCCTGGGAACCAAAGGTTCACTACTGACGATGCGCTCCCCAAATTTCACCAGGCTCGCTGTTCATGGACTCTTGAACGTGCTTGCACAAAGGATAGTAACATCTATCCGGTGTTCTTGGAATCTGCTATCCCCATCGAGCGTGGGGGGCAGGTGGCAGGTGGCAACGTTCCAGACACTCCACCGCGAAAGTCGGCGCTCCTCCGCTCACCGTCGTAGTCGGTGGCCGCGGCTGGCTGCGCCGCGTAGCTCGCCGCGTACCCGCCGGCCCCGTACACCGACGTGTACTGCGCCATCTGCACCGCCTGCACCGCCTGCGCCGCCAGCCAACGGGTACTGCGCAACCTGCTGCTGCTGCTGCTGCTTGACGGCGGCCGAGCCGGTGGTCCCGACCGCGTACACCGCCTTGCCGGCCGCCGACGCGGCGCTGTCGTAAGCTTTCTTGTGCTGCGCCGCCATGGCCGCCGCCGCCGCCAGCGGCCGCCCACGGCGGCGGTGGTGGCGCCGACGGTTTGGCCGATGGCGCCGTAGCCGGCGCCGGAGTAGCCGCCCTGCGCCGACGAGTAGTAGCGCAGGGAGTGGGTCGACGGGCGCCGGCTCCGGCTGGGCCGAGCCGTAGACGGACGCGGAGGAGGTGCCGGCGACGCCGCCGCCGACGCCGGCGCTGGAGTAGCTGCCCTGGCCTGCGGACGGGAGTTAGTCCCCCTTAGGGGGGGGCAGGCAAGGGGCTGGCAACGTTCGGCCCGCACGTGCGCACTCACTCACTGGCTCGCCCGAACCAACGCTCGCCAGCGGCTTCACGCGCAGTAACGCGCAAGCACGCACGCACGCACGCGCGTCACTATGCACACCAACGTAACACGCGCACGCGCACTCGCGCATAACCAATACTACACCAACAACCGCCATCCACGTACACACACACACGTACACACACACTGGCACACACATGCGAAGACACGTGGTAACACACGTACACACACACGTACACACACACGGACTGGCACACACATGCGAAGACACGTGAAACACGTAGACACACACACAGACACACACACACACACACTGGCACACACACGGGTCACATACCGACACTACAACAAACAAACGCCATTCGCCACTAAGTGGCGGGTGACGTCACCAACGACGCTCGTGCCAGGCTGTGCGCACTCCGAGGGCCACGTGAAGTGCCGAAGGCCCGCTGGCAGGAGGTCACGGGGCAGACCCAGCAGGTGCCGCTCACACTCACCATAGCCGGCGTACGCCGACGCCGGGGTGCTGTACCCGCTGCCGGCGCTGGCCGCGTGGCTTTTGTAGCTGGACGGCACCGATGAGCTCTGGTAGCCGGCGCCCTGAGCCCCGTAGCTGCCCGCCGGCGCGTAGCTCGACTGCTGGTAGCCAGCGCCGGATGCCTGGTAGCTCGCGCCATGGGTCTGATAGCTCTGGTAGCCGCTACTCTGTTGTTGCGGCTGCTGCTGCTGCTGCTGTTGTTGTTGTTGCTGATGGTGGTGAGGCTGTTGCTGCTGCTGCTGTTGATGATGGTGGTGCTGCTGCTGAGGCTTCTGCTGGTGCTGTGGCTGATGATGCTGTTGTGCTGGTGCTGTTGGTGGTAACTACCACCGCCACTACTGCCTCCGCCGCCGCCCTCCGCCACCGCCGCCACCACCACCACCGCCGCCACCGCCACCACCGCCACCGCCACCACCACCACCACCGTAGCCGCCCTGTTTCTGATAGTGGTACGATTAGCGCCACGTGTCGCTGGTGCAGAAATCGGCTTTGGGCGGAGGTCCGCCACCGCTACTAACCACACCAACGCTGCTACTACCACCACCGCTCACACCACCACTCCCACCACCACCAGTTCCACCACCACCACCACGAAAGCCACCGCCTGTTCCTCCACCACCGTACTGCGGTTTCCCAGCACCCCCGACCTCCACTGGCGGGCAGGTACTGGTTCTTATTTGCCCGCGGATGATGCCGATGACCCAATGCTGCCGCCGCCCGCCACCACCACCGCCACCACCAGCAGCACCACCACCACCACCAACCACCGCCGCCGCCACCGCCACCACCACCACTGCTGGGGAAGGATGGCCCAGGTGCCGGGGGCAGTAGGGGCGGCGGCGGCGGCAGCCGTGGCGTTGCCGGCGCCTGCCGGACCACCTTGGTTCTGGGAGCCGGAGCTCAGGAAGCCACCGCTTGAGAAGAAGCCACCTGGGATGTGGAGTTCAAAGTTCATGTATTAGGTACAGCCCTGTGAGCCATTCGGCTCTTGTATCGGGTGCAACCGCAAAAAAACAAAACATGAACAAGAAAACATCTTAAAGTGACTGAGTGCAAACAGAAATACAAGAAAAGACAGCAAAATATTGCAGAAAAAGCACCGTACACCAACGGTTGTGTGCAAAAATCCCAGTGGGATGCAAGTCAAAACAACAACAACCACAAGACAACTTAGATTAAGGGCCATCAGTCTAACTCTGTACTCCAACAAACAAACATGGCCAAACCAAAAAACTTTTCGAAATCACCAAAATAAAGCCATAAAAGCAATGAAACAGTGGTCACAGGAACTGTGACCGAATTTTCACAATAAACGCGACGTCAACAACATGTACTACCACCAGACTCTGCAGCTATAGGAGGAGGGCGGCACGGCGAGAAGAGGCCGCTCACTGATGTGGAGTCTTGAGGCTCAAGTGTCGTCATAATGAGAATAACAATTATCAAGTGTTCTCTTGATAATTGGTTTTTTTACCCTTCTATCTGGCAACAAACCTGACACCTTTTTTACAAGGAGTCATGTTGCATTGACCACAATACCTGCAGTCATAATGCAAACAAAAAACACAACTCTGATAATGTATGCACTGTCCTTGAAGTTGATTGGTCCACACCCGAGACATGTGAGACTAGGCTCTAAAGAAAGATGTCTCGGGTGTGGACCAATTCAACTTCAAGGACAGTGCATATATTATCAGAGTTGTGTTTTTTGTTAGCATTATGACCGCAGGTATTGTGGTCTATGCAAACATGACTCCTTGTAAAAAAAGTGTCAGTTTTGTTGCCAGATAGAAGGGTAAAAAAACAATGATCATATTTTTTACTGGCAAATGAGGTTCCAATGGTGTAAGCGTTCTCTTATTTTACGGACATAGAGAGGAATGGAAGGAGGTTAAGGAGGGGCAGCTTAACATACAGGGGCAGTGTTGAGAATATGGGCAGTGCTGAGTCTATGGGCAGTGCTGAGTCTATGGTGCAGTGTTGTGTCTATGGGCAGTGTTGTGTCTATGGGCAGTGCTGAGTCTACGGGCAGTGTTGAGTCTATGGGCAGTGTTGAGTCTAAGATGCAGTGTTGAGTCTATTGGCGATATGGTTAAGGTATGAAGTTAGGATATATGATAAGCCTTAAGAATAGGGTGATGTTATAGAATATGAGTATAGTGTTAGTTTACATGGGTATATAGTTTGGTAGGGGGGGGGGGGGATATAGTGCCAAGTGTTTAAGAGTTATGGTAACATACTCACCACACACCACCACCATGGCCTTGAATGTTAACCATCATTTCCAAAATTGGAGCTGGGGTTGTAGCCTGTAGACACAGCAAAAAAAACAAAGATCCACCATTGCAGCGGTAACACACTTTTGGGCCAAGCGTTTGTTAGTAGGAGCTCCTACGAAGGCCGGCACGGCAGCGAGGGGGGGGTGGGCTGGGCAGCACCTCGCCCGGCCGCCTTTGTCTCCCCAGTGGAGAAGTTTACACACTGCACCGGGTACTCATTTGAGGCCGAGTCCACCTAGGGGAGGGCCCGGAACCAGTTTAAATAATCGTCCACCGGTGCTGACCGCGAGCCAGAGGTCGCAACCGGGTACCCGTACCCTACCCGATACCCGTACCCTACCCGATACCCGGCTACCTGTACGTGATCTCACCCAAAAACCACCCACCCCCCACACCACGTGGGGGGTGGGTGGGTGTGTATTTTCAAAAGTGTTGAGAGGAAGTCGCTTAAGGCGCGTGAATCGCTTCGCTGAGAGACACGCGCCGCCGAGAAGGAGGGCGGCTCTACCCAATGCGGACCGGCATCGTGACGTGGTGGCGCGGTGAGAGAGTTCAGGGAAGGGGCGTGGGCAAACACGTGTGTGCGGGATCTGTGTGCTTGGCACGGCTGTGCCACCCCACGCCACCCCAGTCACCCACGCCACCCACGCCACCCACGCCACCCACGCCACCCACGCCACCCACGCCACCCCGCCACCCACGCCACCCACGCACCCCGCCACCCACGCCACCCACGCCACCCACGCCACCCACGCCACCCACGCCACTCACGCCACCCACGCCACCCACGCCACCCACCGCCACCCACGCCACCCACGGCACTCACGCCACCCACGCCACCCCACGCCACCCACGCCACCCACGCCACCCACGCCACTCACGCCACTCACGCCACCCACCCCCACGCCACATTCACGCCACCACCCCACCCCACGCCACTCACACCACCCACACCACCCACGCCACTCACGCCACCACACGCCACCCACGCCACCCACGCCACCCACGCCACTCACGCCACCCACGCCACACCACACGCCACTCCGCCACCCACGCCACTCACGCCACCCACCGCCACCCACGCCACCCACGCCACTCACGCCACCCACGCACCCACGGCCACCCACACACACCTACACCACCCACTCCACCCACATCCACCCCACACCACCCACACCACCCACACCCACCCACACCACCCACGCCTCACACCATCACACCACCCACACCACCCACACCACCCACCCCACCAACCCCGCCCACGTTCTCACCGGTTTTTGCCGCCGTCATATGAACTGTAGCCGAATCCTCTGCCACGACTTCTCCCACGGCCGAATCCTCTGCCCCGACCTCCAGGAATATTCTGATGGCACAAAGACAAAGATGCACACCCCGTGTATCATTGAAACAGACTGTGGGGGCACGTGCTGTTACGTGAAGGTGTTATTGCGTGCGCCACAATTGCCGTAATGGTGGCGAGGGTATTAGTAAGGATAACGATAATCACCTTCTGACGACCATGGTGTTTGACGGCAAGGATGATACTGCTAATGTTCATTGTTGCGATGATGATGATGATGATGATAACAGTGATTGGCGGCGGTGAATAATTGTGAGGGTGAAAACAAAAATGCTCTGATAATATTTCAATTGTCATTCTCCAGTAAGACGAGGCTATAAAGAAGGCCATCTCTGGCATAGGCCAATCGGTTTGAAAGACAATTCATATATTTTATGCGAGCATTCTTGATTTGAGGCTTTGGTGACTGCAGGAATCCACACTCTTTGGTTCTTTCGGTAAAGTCATGTGGGTAGAAAAATAATAGATCACGACGTTTCGATCGCAACGCAAGCAATCGTCATCAGGTGGGGCAACCACAGCAAGAAAAAATTAACCCGTAAAAACAAAGTTTTTCACTCTAAATCCTTTATATGCGTGGTGGCTAGAATCCTCTCGTCCTCTGGCTTGAGATGGCTGCCACCTATGGGTCAGATGAATGGCTGCCACCATTAAGCAATTGGTAATTAAATATAATTTATTTTTCCTAAAAAGTGTAAAATTTTTGAAAAAAATTTTCACGAAAATAAATTGTCACGCACAACGAGTCTGTGTGCAAAATGTCAGCTCGATTGGATCACGGGAAGTGGGTTAAAAAACGACCGAAAGATTTGCACGGTCGCAAGCAAGCAAGCAAGTGAACTTAATATAAAGGATTTAAAAAACAATATTTTATTAAATTATATTTTTTATTTTATTATGTTTTAGTTTATTTATTTTATTACTTCCCTTCTACGTGACTTTACCGAAAGAACCAAGAAGATAAACCGAATGAGTTTCACAGCTACGGTTTGTACACCGAGGGTATGCAGCCCCCCTCTTCCGTTCCCCCCCACCCAAGCCCCCCCCCAAGCTGCACCTGCTTGAAGGTCTTGGTGGGGGGGCACGGCACGTTGGGCCCAGAGAAGAGCTTCTCCAGGGCAGCGAGTGCCGCGTTGGCCTTGGCCACTTTCTTGTTGCTGCCCGTCCCCTTGAACATCTCACCGTCCACCTCCACCTGGCACCACGGAGCGCAACAACAACAATTTTCGATGTAAAGCTTTCGTGACTGCAGGGATTCATCTTCTTGGTTCTTTCGGTAAAGTCACGTAGAAGGGAAGTAATAAAATAATAAAAATAAAACATAATAAAATAATTCTCACGACGTTTAGTACTAATCACATACCTGCATTTCCCATATCCCTCCCTTTGATGCTGCTAATCCTGCATAATGCACGGACATAAGTAGTACTAATCACATACCTGCATTTCCCATAAATATGCTAAATTCCTCTTGATATGCAAATTCTTTAATCAAGGCGCCCTTCTCCCCCCCCTCCCAACCCAGCTTATATTTGCTCCAAGCATGTGTGCTGTTTCATTCAGACGCTGTCGCCTCGACAAACCTGGTTTCACCTGAGGACGGCTGCTTGCGTTGTGGCCGAAACGTCGTGAGAATAATTTAATTATGTTTTATTTTTATTATTCTATTACTTCCCTTCTACGTGACTTTACCGAAAGAACCAAGAAGAACAACAACAAACACAAAGATCCCGCGAGTTGCAGAGCCTACCAAGGCCGGCACGGCACGTGACGGGTGCGTATTTAAGGCCGAGTCGTCCTAGAGGCAGGCCCCACAGGACAGGTTCAGATACTGGTCACCGTAATTGGGCGCGAGTGAGAATCGAATTCGGGGTCACCGGGGTTCGTAGCGCAGCGAGCCAAGTGCCACACAACTGCCCCGCGCACGTTCGCACGCAGGTGCGTGCACGTGTGCATTCCTAGCACGCTCACGTTCTAGTTTTAAAGGTGTGGTGGTCACGTTGACACACACACGCCAGAACCAGGGTGCTTACCGGTACGGGGAGGTTGTGTACTCTTAGCCGGGACCCGCCGGGGGGGGGGGCTGTGGGCAGCGTCTGCGATCCCACAGAACCCCCCGCGCCCTTGGTGGGGAGCGGTAGAAACCAGTCCGGACCGGTTGGGCCAACGGTAGCCAGGACCCCTCTGAGGCAGAGGTCGCAACCGGGTACCCGATACCTGTACCCTACCCGATACCCGGCTACCCGTACCCAGCCGGGTACGGGTACGGGTAGGCCGTGAGTCACTGGTGAGTAACCGTTTGTCACTCATTTTGGGTAGGGTACGGGTAGGGAGGAGGGGGAGGAGGGCAGAGGATGAGGAGGCAGGGGGGGAGGAGGGAGGATTGTGGAGGGAGGAGGGGGGAGGGGGTTGAGGGTGGAGGATGAGGAGGGAGGGGGGGGAGGGAGGGAGGAGGAAAGAGAGGAGGAGGCGGCAGCAGCAGCAGGCCACCTGGATGATGAAGCGCTTGTCATGGCCCCCCTCCTCCGACGTGACCTCGTACTTGAGTCCGCGACGTCTCGTTCAGCTCCATGATGGGGTTCTTGCCCTGCGCGGTAAGCACCAGGCCGGGCTGCTTCATCACCGCCTGTGATCCTCGCACGCGCGCTCCCGTCGTTAGCATCGTGGCCACCATCATCATCATCAACAACAACAACCGCTTACACCATTGGTACCTCATTTGCCAGTAAAAAATATGATAATTGTTTTTTTTACCCTTTTATGTGGCAACAAAACTGACACCTTTTTACGAGGAGTCATGTTTGCATAGACCACAATACCTGCGGTCATAATGCAAACAAAAAACATAACTCTGATAATGTATGCACTGTCCTTGAAGTTGATTGGTCCACACCCGAGACAGCTTTCCTAAGAGCCTAGTCTCACATGGTGTTGGACCAGATGATGCCAAAAGGCGCACAACTCAAAGACAATGCACCATCAGAGTATGAGAGCTCGGAGTAAGGCATTTACACCATTGGAACCTCATTTGCCAGAAGAAAAAAATATGATAATTGGGTTTTTACCCTTTAATCTGGCAACAAAACTGACACCTT